CGGTTGACAGGGGACGTTCCATCCATAATCCATCACGCCGACAGCTGAGCAATGGACATACCTACGAGCCGACTCAGGGACACAGCTGGGCCTCCATAGCCGCCCTCTCTCTCTGATGGCCGGGGCTCGGACATCCGGGCTCGCCTGCGCTCGAGCACCGCGTTCGGGGCGGTCCGGGACGCAGTGATGAGTTTGGGTCGGATTTGGGTCGGCCCCTGGGGTGGCTGCTGGGCAGGTATACTCTAGTGGGTTTCGGACGGCTCGTCGCTAGGTGGTTGGACGTGTTCGCCGGGGTTACCGTTGGAGTCGTTCGAGGACGTATCCTGATGGCTTGCTGTGATGCAGCTGGATGGAACGTGTCTGTACAGGCGATTCGAACGTTGCTGCAGTCGTGGATGTGAGTGGGTCGTCGTCGTCGGGTAGGCGTATCTACAGGCTTGCATGTGGAGTTCTAGGCAAGACCGTGCCATGTCGGAATGGAATTGTCGCGGAAGGAGCGGCGGTTCAGCCGTGGCTTGGTGGATAAGTGGCAAAGGCCCGTCCAATGCGACCTGGATCGAGAAAGGCTCCATCACCCAGGCTTCTCCTCCCCTCCAACACTCCGCCGCTCCACTTCCCTCACCCACCTCCGTCTCCTCCACTCCCCCTTCCGCATCTCTAAACCCCCACCGCCCTCCTCCCACCCACTCCTCGGTCCCCTCTTTCCACCCTTCCCCCCCGGACTCCCCACCACCTCCCCCTCCCTCTCCAAATCATAAACCCACCCCTCCCCCTCCAACTCCACCTCCACACCCCCCACCACCCTCCCCTCCACCCACTCCCTTGCTTCAGAATCTAACCCCCACTTCTTCCCCCGCCACGCCCAACCCCCAGGTGCAACCACATCCCCAAAAAACCTCGTCCCCCTCGGCCGCGTCGTCGCTCCCGCTACTCGCAGCGGGGAGGAAGGGTCGTAGGGTGTCGGGGTGAAGAGCCAAGGCTCCCAGGAATCGGAGTATGGGTCGTAGTGCTGCAGTTCGAAGATCTCGACTTCACGGCGGGGAGGCGGGGCGTCGAGGAGGATGTCGTGGGTGGTGAAGGCTGTGAGGTTGGAGTAGAGGAGGGAGAGGTGCTGGCGGAGGTGGAGGGTGAGAGG